CCCCCCTAGATCCGCCACTGCAATGGGAAGGCCAGCGGGGTTCATTCACTAACGAATGCGACTTTGGGGGAACCTTGGTTAAGGTCCGTAGGTGCTTGTGTTCGACTGAGCCTGGTTGACGCCAGGATAGCGCATTAAAATTGCCATTTGACAGAGAGATGGCCACACAGCCCTGTCATGTAGTCCCAAACATGAATATGACTTCTGTGGCAAAATGCACTATGTGTCAGCACTAGCAATTAGGAGAGACAACAGTGACATCCAATGTCCAGAACTGTCGCCTGGCACAAAAACATTTAAAAAAAAACATCCGTACAAAAAAACACATCCATAATGTATTCTGATCGACCAACATAAGCAACTACGACACTGTGGCATATTTTGTCATCTCGACGTATTTCCACGAATAGTATTGACAATAAATTGAACACGGCTCTTTCTTTAATACCGACTTCTAACGTATGCCAACAGTAAAAGAAATATTATTATTTTGTCACTTGTTTTTCACAGTTTTCGGTCCAATAATGTATTGTGCATAGATACCCGGAAATAATAGTACTCGTGACTGTTTTGCACTAAACTCCTTTGGCATTTTGTTTCGCCGGTCTCTGAGCGGTTACTCTCAAGTAAGACAAGTGTAGCTAAACTTACGTAGAATTACATTCGTTGTAATAAGAAACACTTGATATCTCATTTCTAATTGGGCTACACGACTCCCATGATTCAGTTTTCAAAATGGCGCTCCCCATGAGAGGACATGCGAGACTTCGTATTATTTTGACGTCTTTCTGTCGTGTTGCAGGAATAAGGCGTTGTTCAACTACGAGTAACGACACTCAGGTAATATATTTCAAGTCTCTTTACTTAGATCATGAATGAAAGCACCATTGTAGTTTCTTTAATTATTTGGTAACTGTTAATTCACAGTCGGTTGACGAGATCGGATCCGCTGCCAAATGGCGGGGGTCATATAAAGGATATTAACCGACAGGACTGAAATCCTGCTCAGTTTCACTCTGGAAGGGTTTCTTTCGTACCCCCATTCCTAACCCTTGATTTAACCCCCACTCCCCGCCTTCCCATTTCAAATGTATATAGCCCCTCTAGATACATGTAACTATAGTATAGGTGTCATTAGGATGGACATATACATTGAAATTGGGGAGCGCTGGAGGTAGAGGTAGAGTTACGTAAGGGGAGGTGCACATAATTGCACAGTTGTATTGTTTTTGGATATTGGCTCAAAAGATGAGTTCACTGAATGGTAACCATCTTATTACCATGGTAACCATCCTATTACAATGGTAACCATCTTGTTACCGTGGTAACCATCTTATTAGCATTTTTGTTGTTGTTGTTGTATTGTTAACATTTTAGTGTTCCATAAAACTTGCATTCAAGTAGAAAGTGCATCTCATTCTCATCTTCAATCTCATTTTGGTTGCACACTGTGCACTTCCTACCACTGCTGGGAATTGTTTTTGTATTGCACTGTTTCTTAATTAATTATGTGCTCTAATTCCTGATTTTGTTAATGCTGCTCTATGTTTTGCATTCATTACGACTGTCAGTGTTGTGTCAATAAATATTATTCTCTTTTCTCACCGGTCAACGTAAACCATGACCCACCTCAGTGTTATAGGAGAAGTACATTGCATTTGGTTAATCACAGGACATTGATTCTCACAGCAGCTCCAGAGGCTTGGATTATTCGGGTTAAAGCTATTGAGAATAACATCAGGATTACATACACATTGGGCAAAGTTGGGACAGTATCTCGATTCGTGTATGCACACTTGTGTTTCAGACACAAGAAGTAGATAGAAAGACAAAGCAAAAAATATTAATAAAGGGTGGAGGGAATGAGTTAAGTGATGATCATGGAAGTAAGACACTTTTTTTTGCACAAGGGGATTGTGTTGACTGGCGCATAATACACAAAACTTCAAAATTCGCTGCAAAGGAAGTCAATGGATTTGTTTGATGAACACCAATTTCATTTATCATTTTTTCTTGTTCTATGATAGTTGTATAGTTGCATACATTTTTTAAAGCAGGATTCAAAACTGCATATAGTAGTAGTAGTACCGGTAGTAGTCCAGAGTTTTAAATCCGGTTTGGTCCCCGAAGACGAGGGTGGCCGGATTCACCTTAAACTAGTGGCAATCGCTCTTACCCCCTCCCTCCACTTTGCACGATTTAAAGCATCCCTCATCCTCATCCCAACCTTCCTACTCTCCTCCTCCACTTGCATCTTCCACGTCTTCTTTGGCCTTTCCCTTTTCCTTGGACCGCTCACCTCTAAATCAAGGGCCCTTCTTAATACATGCCCATCCTCCCTCCTCAGCACATGCCCATACCAACGTACCCCATTTGCCTTCGCCAACCGATCTACCGCTTCCCTCAAACCCAACATCTGCATCAAGTCCTCATTATCTTTCTGTCCATCAACTTCACCCCACACATCACTCTCACCATCGCTCTCTCTGTCCTCCTTAAAATACCCAACTTATTTTCACTCAAACACCATGTCTCGCTCCCATACAGCAATGCTGATCTCACACAACTCTTATAGACTATTCCTTTCATCTCCAAGGGAATTCTCTTCCCATATAGTAGCTCTCCACATTCCCTAAACTTCACCCAAGCAAACCTTGCTCTAGCTGTCACAGCCGCCTCACACCCACCACCCACACTTACCTTGTCCCCCAGGTATGTAAACTCCTTCACTGACTCAACCTCATCACACAACTTTTCTTCCTGTTCCACCACCCTTCCAACTCCATTCTTACATCTTCCACACGCAAAATCCCTTGCCAATATTTGGGTCACCCTCTTTATCTTTGCACATCTCCCATGTATCCACTTCCCACATTTCACACACCGCATATATTCCTGATAATAAATTGGTCAGGTATAGACACATGTAATTGATTTCAGTTCACAGCTCATTTTACGACTTGCTAAAGACTAAATTTAACAGATAATACAACTTCAAAATGACACTGTCAAAACTGTGTATGTGTATATTCCATGGTTTCATGTTATCTCATTAATGGTCTTCACCTGAATGTACAAGAATATACACAGTCCTGAACATAAACATTGCTCAAAGCAGGGTCTTATAGTCATAACAGTAAAAATATTCAACTCTGACAAAGCATGTAACATAATTTTGACTGTTGTGGACGTGGACACTCGCATTCCAAAAAAAAAATGTTTTTGTCTTATTAACATGTACCGGTATGTAATTTTGACTTGACATTGTTTAAAATTTTGGAAAAGAAGCATTATATTACACTAGATATATGTATAGTCAAACTGTTTCTGTGGCAGTATGAGAACTTGGTCAAAACTCTTGCAGTTCACCAATGGTAAAAAATTAAATATATAAAAAGAAAATTAATTTTTCCAACCCGAGTGTGGATCAGATTACTTTCTGAACATGCATGACATCAGAGCCGATAGACTGCTTTTGGGGTTTTCTTAGAATTATGAGTAATTGTACATAATTTCAAAAATACTAGGTACATAGACAGGGATTTTTATTTTATTTTTCATACTTTAACCTACAGAATTGAAAAAAAATATTTTCAGAAAATATTTCCTTACAGTAAGTCTCAGTAGTAAACTAACTCAAAAATTCCCCAACTGCCTGAAGCAAAGGACCAACACTGTTAACGAATATTACCCTTTATTCTGTCACCATCAAATGCTAGTAATATCTAAAAACTATGACTTACTATGACTCCTGTTTTACAGGACTGAAAAGTATGTAAAATTGTTTGTGAAGATCAAATCTGCAAAACCAAAGCTGTCAACGAATTAGTGATCAAGTTTGCTAACTTGGTCATAACTACATTTAGTTTGTATAAAAGTAAATGATCTTGAGTCCATTTTGAGCATAAAATAAACTTTTTACCACCTATAATGGGTAGGTAGGTAAGACATTATTTATTTTATTTGACCTTAGTGTCATTGCCATTTCCAATTTAATTACTAGATAAATGACAAGTGTTCAACATTTTCTACTCTCCCAAAGAATAGGATTGACTAATTTTCTGTTTTACCATCAGATTGAAACTGAATTGACCGTATTGATATTTAGATCTATGATAAACACCCCTCAATTTTTGTGTTATTTAGAAATAGAAGCACATCTCCACAGGGCAGTGTTGCTTTAACCTTTTCACCACCAGTTCTGTCATTTCATCACAAATTCACAAAATAGTCCAGTTTATGGTTTACACTTTCCTTTAGAAGATTGGGATTAAAATAGCCAAATTTTGTAGTAAAAATTGACTCAAATTTTTTCTATTGGCTCCAAATTAGGGTTCATTTCCAGAAATATTGAAGAATATATGTATAAGAAAAAGGTGCAGAACTACTTGGGTAACAAAGTCTGGTGGTGAAAAGGTTAAAAATAAAATTGGGAAAGCACTTGTGGGTTTTAAACCAAATTAGATATTGCTGTTTTGTTGCATCAACTCATCAATATAGACTCATTCTTCTTGTCATAAACCTGGTAATGTTCAAGTTACAGCAAGCATGCCTCCTTATTAGGATATGCAGATTAAAAATAAGGAACATAACCGCACATTTGTTTTCATGTACTCAGTGTGGCCACATTGACAAATACATTGTTTTCTTAGACTTTTTCAAACTGAAAAATCATGAATTGTCAAAATTGAATGTGCTATGATAACGTACACATTTCTGTGGGATAAATGCCATGCTTTGATTGTGAATCATTTTCACAGAATAATTCATGGTTTGAAATTACTCTTAGTCATTTGTGACAAAAGTGACATAATTTACTGTAGCCTAATCTAAAGGAAATTTACAATTGTCTGCTGGCAATGTGCTAGCAGAAGCCCAGATTGTTATTTAATATGTGTTCTAGGCTACTGCAATGTAATAAAGCATATTCAGCCAAAGGCCCATGACTTATTAAGAATTGTTGTTTTTTTTTGGGGGGGGGGCACTCTTTCTGTCATGACTGCAAGTTTCTGTGAGTTCATGACAGAAAAGCAACTTTCCTTCACCTCTTATTGTTTATGATATGTTTTGACATACTCATCAGGCCAAACATAATTTTTGTTTTGATTACCGTAGTTCTCCGGGTCCTGAACATGGAAAATTGCAAAAAATAGGGGTGGGCTTATGCCCGGACATTCCCTGCAAAAAAACGAAAATCGACAGAACCCAGATGGAACTGTGGTAGGGAATAGAATAGCAAACATGAAATGGAAATAAATGAAAAATTTAATTTATAATTTATTGCTTATAATGACATTAATGTGACAAATAAACCAGAAATAATAAAAATCGACAGTGAGGAATCATTTGAAATAGAATTTCCCTGCCGCAAACAGGCCCAATACGTGTGAACTCAAAATGAACTAAAATGTCAGGGGTTAAATTAAACTGCGTAAAAAAAATTCCGGTTTTGACAAATACCGGATCAACAGTCATACACGAACAATAATAATTCACAAAATTATGAAAGTTCATAGTTGTTTAAAAAAACCTTGTCATTACATTCATTAATTGCCCTCTTCCTCAAAGTCAAAACCCTCAAAGTCCAAGTCGGCGTCACTGTCACCGTCGAACAAAACAGCTTGGCAAGTCTAATCACAAAAAAGTGACAAGAAAAATGACCTCGATCAATTTCTTTATTGTATCAAAATGGGGGGGGGGTTGCCCGGGCATGGACGCTTACCTGGACAATTACAGTACTTTCACTATCAGTGAACCATGCAGTGTTTCAGCAGTCTTAAAATTATTACTTTATGATAAAATACAACATTAATTATTCTTGGTTCTTGGTTTTTATTGTCGTGTATTGATTACATACATGTACAAGTACATGGCAATAGTGTGAAATGTTTACGGCCCAGTTTAATAAATAATAAGTACATGTAGGTCTTTTTATGGCTCCATTTTATTATCCTGGATACTGCCCATAGCTAAACATACACCTCATGCAACCAGAGAAGACTCTTAAAACAATACAGAGACAATCTGAAGGCAAGCCATAGGAGCTGCAATATCAACATATTTTCACAACATAATTTTATTTCGCTGCAGTAAAACACTGGAATTCACTTCCAGACTCCCTCAAAAATATCAACAACAGCATTTTTTTCTTTTCTTCTGCATATAAATTCGTAGTACCAGTAGTTTGTTTATATTATTATCACACATAATATTTTCTTCATGTTTATATCTAAATCTTATAGATCACTTTTCATTATGTATTTTCATTGTATTTTTTAAGTTCTGTAAATATGGTCATACTGGTGAAATAAACAAATAAACAAATAAATGAATGAATGAATGAATGAATGAATGAATGAATGAATGTCAACTCATGGAAAGCAATTACCCATGACAGAATGCTTTGAAGAAAGCACTAGTACACATTAGGAACTAACTTAAGGTTTTTTAAAGGGAACATCAAACCAAACAACATATTGACCCCTCAAGAAAAAGCTCCACAAATGTAGAAGAATGCAATTTACAGTTTTTTTATATCACTTTTCATTCTCTAGATATTCAACTTTTCATCAGTATTATGTAGTCAGCCATCTTGATTTTCAAGTAAAGGATTATGGGTAAAGTATGACATCATAGAATCTGTTGTCAGAGCTGCTGCCATTCATGGGCATTCATGCTGCCATTCAAGGCATGGCTATAATGAAAAATGTTTGTTGAATATAGTTTAATAATAATGAGTATGTATTTGTATGATGCTGTGTTATCCTGCAAACACCTCTTATAGATTTAATACGCATACCTAAAAATACACCGCATAGTTACTTCCTGCTCAGGTACAGTTTGTACCCAAGTGTAGCGGAAAGGAAGCTCAGGAATAAAGTGCCCCAAAGACACAGCCAACTTATTATGATACTTCTATATATTTGAATGATTTATTAGATATAAAGCTGTGTACTAAGCTTATTCTGACATGTACATGTTGGAATGCGCAGTAAATGTGTTGCTGTATGTATGGGTAGGTGTGAATGATAAAACACATACACACTAAACATTTAGTCTGGTTACCACTAATAGTGATGTAGACTGGCCACCACAGCCAGCCATGTAGTCTGGCCACCACAGCCAGCCAAGCAGACTGGCACCAAAGCCAACAAAAATTGCTAGTCAGTGCAAGTCAAATGAAACGGCTGTTTTTATTTTTGGCCATATTACTATATCTCTGTCACCCATGTATCATTTTCATTGATATTTAGCATGTCATAAATGGATACATGTACATGTCAATTCAATTTGCAATTTGATCAAATATGGCCGACTGGCGGCCATCTTGTTTGTTTAAAATGTGATAACTTTGTGCTTTCACTTGTGATCTATGTTTTTCTTTGCTATGTCTTAAACTGAATGGGTCGTCACGCAACACGTGTTTGAATTTGATGTAAATAAACAATCTGTTGTTTACGCCACTTTGGACTCAAGTTTCAGGGACACATTCGCGACAAGCACAAAGAGAACTTTCAAAAATTTAACGGGGACTGTGTCATTTTCAATGACTTGTTAATTTCAAATGCTTGATCCCCCCTCCCCCACACAATGAACTGTTTACGTCTAGTAAACTGACATCTAATTATAATATGGATCACATGCATATCTGGTAGCAATGATTCTACAAATTCTGTTAGGGATTTGCATATTTACCACCATTTTGTAATTTTTACCACTTGGTCATGTGACCCATTGTTTTGCTCATTTACATGTTACTCCCCACTCAGGGTTTTTTGTCTGTACTATGTATTTTTGCAATCAGCAACAGTTTTTGAAATATGTAACTTAGTAATTAAATTAAAGTTGTTTTCATCCTAATCCTAAGTGACATAATTCATTTTTTTGCACTTGCAAATGAGTAGGTGCTACAGTTGTTTAGTATGGTAATTTATAATATGATTTAATTTAATTAAATTTAATTTAATTTAGTCGTCCTACTGCTTTCCTTCAAGGTTAATTTCTTTTTCACTGTTTCTATTCATTCTTACGATATTATATTATTATTACAATGTATTATAAACAATTGCATCATTTCAGGGACTTCGCTTATGGGATTAGCTCATATCCCCCCAAGATCATTCATATTTTTCTTAGGTATATTTTGCGTGGGTTTTATTATTGTTAATTTTATTATTGTAATTACTTATACCTCATTAACGACTTCACAGGCAGCCCTCGCTGCATCAATGTCTAAACTCAGTAGTTGCAGCCCCCGCTGTCTCTACCCATAACCTCTTAACTTCATGCAGCCCCCGCTGCATAACCATGGTGTAGCCGCAGCACTCGCTGCCTATACTTTCCAGTTGCAGTCATGCTGCAATCTGCCATTCCATACTAACATCATGCAGCTATGCTGCACCAACCAACATGTTTTCAGTCTTAGTCTAGTTTGTATTTTAGTTTAGAAACTGTAAGCCAGCTAGTTTACACCTGCTTTGTTCTACATTTTAGGGGCGGCACCAGGGACCATCTTATCAGTCTGTTATGCATTGTCTCACTTTTGTGTACGATGGTCTTGTGGTGTGCCCCCCTATTTGCCAAATAAATTATTGGTTCATGTACATGCTCTTGTGTTTGTGTCATAAATACAGGTTTAATGTGTAATATTAAACCATGTTTATGACTCAAATCTCATGCTCTCTAGCGTGATATTTACATAGATCTCGCACTTTCTCGCGTGGCTCAACATCACAATCAGTTTGTTTCTGGCGCCATATTGGAGTAGCCTGAAAGTGTTGCGGAGCTTAAGCTATTCTCGTTTTATTCACCCGCCACCATCCCCATTCTTCCCCATTAGGCTGGCATTAACACCAATTCGGGGGACTTCGCTTATGGGATTAGCCCAAGGCAGACACTTTTTTCCCATTTGTTTTCTTTGCATTTATCGTTATGTAAGCAGTGCCTTCATGTACATATTATTTATTTATTGATTTATATTATCATAAAAATGGGTCACTGACTCGACTAGTTCGGTAGAACTATTTCAGTGATCCCCACCACAAATTCCTTATATTATATTAGTAATGTACCACTGATTTTTATTTGTTTATTTGTTGTGAAATAAACTCATTACCGGTATTCATTATTCATTATAATGAAACAATAGTTTTTTTCTGTCCAGGATGATGCATTTCCAAAAAGAATATTTTCTGGTATTCAGCCAACTGGCATCCCACACATCGGTAATTACCTGGGCGCTGTTACTAACTGGGTTCGACTACAAGAAGCGAGTCAGCAAGATGAAGTGATTTTTTGCGTGGTTGATATGCATTCTATAACGTTACCACAAGATCCACAACAATTGAAGAACAATATTTATGACATGGTAGCATGTTTGTTGGCTTGTGGGATTGATCCAAAGAAGTCTATTCTTTTTCAGCAGTCAGCTGTGAGTATAAACATGCATGTACTGTATTTAGAAGTACTAGTATGTCTACTACTGGTGGCTATGGTGGTTATATTTTTGTGTCCTTAACCAATCTCAGACATGCCTTTGTTCAAAGTTGTTACAAAAACAAGACATAATGTTATGCCCTCAAATGTTAATCGAGCCAAATACAGACAGGGACTACATGTACATGTATGTCATCGACAATGACTTGTTTAGCTGATTTGCCCAATTATGATTGATTGGTGATTTGATTTTTTTTTTTCAGTGTGACTTTTTTTAATTTTTCACTTATTTTGTTTATAAATTATAAGTTTTAGTTTGCCAAATTACAAATTCCTCAACTATAGAAAGATATTTTTCAAGGTAACTTTTTCAATGTATTATTTTTCAATTTATTATTGTGTCAGTAGGCTGCGTATTCAGATTTTAAATAAATTACAAATTTCCCATCCAGCATTTTTACCATAGGTGAATTTGAACCAAAAATGTTTATTTCGTTAACTGATATTTGCCGTTTTATTCAAATAATGCACAATTTTTTTTACATATGATAGGTTCAACAGCATGCTGAATTAGCCTGGGTGTTAGGATGTATAACAACAATGAAAAGGTTAGGACATTTACCACAATGGAAGGTATTTACAATATTATAGAATTAATTAATATCTATGCCATACATCAATCAATAAGGTGAAATATTGAATGAAGATATTGTTCACAGTATGGTTTTTCATATCTTAAAGCGCGGTGGTTGTCACGCGTGTTCGAATTCCATGTAAATAAACAATGTATTTTACATATCGAACAGGACGCGGCACGACGACTGTCGCACTTTAACTGATTTTTGTCATCTTCTATAATATCATATGTAACCCGGCAACACTTGTTGCTTCTGAAACTACCCTCTGTTCATTTTAGAACTATGGACATAAACTCAAACTATTTCTCCACTTTGTAATAAAAAATGCTTATTTGTAAAAGTGTGTCATATTAATATTATCCTTCAGTGCCTGTCTTATTAAGAGATCAATTTGTTTTGACAGTGGATGGTACCAGCCTACCTGTTACCAAGCCAATCATCTACCTGTCTTTTAAGACTGGTACAGAATTTGATTTCACACACAACATTTTTGCAAACCTGTCAACTTTTCATTGAAAATTTCCAGTTTTTACAAAAAAGCTATAAATAATCAACAAAAAATAGATTATAAGTCTGCGGCTACATACTGTGAACAGATTATAGACTGTATTATACAGATAGACAGATTATAGAATCAATACAGGTTATATACAGGCCCAAATACTGGAATTCTACACAGTATCCATTACTCAGGTTAACACAGTAATTTTTGTTTTTAATATTTTCCATGCACAGACAAAGAGTGCAAAAAGGAGAGAAGGAGTATGTGTAGGATTGTATACATATCCAGTATTAATGAGTGCAGATATACTCTTATATAAGTAAGTTGATGGTTACTATAAGGTTATTTCGAGAATACTGCAAATTATGCATGAAGATACGGTGATTGTATTGACCCAACATGTGCCATTCCCATACTCCCTGAGTGCATACTATGCAGTGTTCTTGTGATAACCTTATTATTATACATCTTTTTCCTACTTGTAGTATTCATTTGATGAGCAATAACAGTCTGCAATGGCAACAGTGAATATTTTGCACTGTGTGAATGTTTGCATTCAGTGATGGAATTCTATTTTCATCACGTCATCACGATTCTGTGTCTGGAGTAAACAAAGGAACATTTTTGAATGTGGCGTAAATGTGACGCACAATTTCCAAATACGAAAGACATTCAAACTTGAGTGTGCTTGAGTTCATTGTGGGTTGGTGGGGGAGTTCATCATTGTTATTATTTTTAAGTGTTGTTCAATACCAGTGGATTTGCTGCCACTAAAAAGCGGAAAACTTGGAGACAAATCCACAGTGAACGAAACAGTTTCTCAGCCACAGGCCCATGAATCTGCATAATTTAAAAGGTCTTTCTAGAAATTGTTTCCACAATCTCATATGACAAACTAAGAAAGAAACTAGTTTTAATCCATCAAATATTATTGTACATGTATTTAAATCATTTACATTGCGAGTAAATGATGTGTGCTGTGAAGTAGTATTGTAGTGATTGCTTGAGCGAATGGCACACCATGACTGGTACGCCTATTTGGTATCCATTGCGGTATTGCACTAAGCTACGCTAGATAGCCCCAGGGTACATGTACATAGTCGTATCATTACCCCACCCCCTAATCTTTTCAAATTATCAAGGCAGATGTTATTGACACACACTGCCCTGTGTGTGTAATAGTTATTTTCAAATTCTACGAGAGGCAAACAAACTTAGAGGCGTAGTGAGCGATTGAATATGGCTGGGAAGCTAGTTGGTGTTTTAGAAGGAAAAACAACGGTGATTATAATCTAACTGTATAGTAAATAAAAAAACAAACATTAACAGCGTCAGGTTTACTTTCGGAAATTCCGTCGCGTTTCGTAAGTTTTAATTTTTACAACTTTTGAATATTTATTTATACTTTTAGGTTAGTGAGGAGGGGATAATAATTTTTCATTTCACAATAACACTTTTTTTCACCCCTCAGACCTCTTTAAAAAGTCACTTCTGGCCATTATAATGGCCACTATTTTTTTAATGGCCAGAATATCAACCAGAACTTTTTTAATGGTCAAAATATTGACCAGTATTTTCAAACTGGTTGTTATAATGACCACTATTTTTATACTGGTCAGAATAATAGTAATTTTTTATTTAATGATGGAGTTGGTGACAGAATAATGATCATTTAATTTTTCATTACAGAAATAAAATGGTCATTTTTTTTCATGTCACAGATATAATGGCACATGGGGATTGACAGCTCTCCTGCCTTGCTTCAGTTTGCTTCAATTTTAAGCCAGTACAATTGTAGGTAAATGTAAAATATTAAATAATACATAATATTGGTATATAAGTGTAAAGATATTGAAAATTTAGAATATGGAATTGTATATCTTGAAAAATATGAAGTTTTCGGTTAATTTTTTTTTAAAAATGCAGACATTTTCAAATCACCACAAATCATGTACTTGATACTGTTCATTTAATAATATATATAGTGTAATGCAATAGGTTATTAAACATAGAAGGTGACCAGTTTTCAAAATCTGGTCTAGACCCTTATCACAGGTTAACAAAGTGTGTGCAAACATTAAGCCAATGCAGGCTAAGCACCCAAAATATTGTACTCAATGTCCATTTCAAAGTTTAACTATTATATTCATAACTATACTAAACTTGACAATCATTACAAGCACATTCTGTGACATTATTCTTGAGATAAAAATGGACCGACAATGAGACTCTGTACTACATCCTGTTCTTATAAAGGCAATGTCCATACCTTGAACAAACAAACAAGACATTCACTACTGAACCTTTGAACAGTGTGCAAAAAAATGATTGTATTCATATCCATGGTATGGGGCATTGATGCTCAATAATGGGATACATTATTGCGAATAATCTGCTACAATGACGTCATAAAATCCACTGGTATTGATAATGCTATAATATAATGTATAATTATCTGTTCTCTGTAAAGTTGACACTCAAATACAGGGATTGCAATAGCATTGTGTCCCCATTAGTAAATTAAGATGAATTGACAATACATGATTTGTATTACAAATGGAACCCTTTATTGTATTAACAATTTTGGGGTTTGGGAAGCAGAATATGGCGTTAACACAATTCCTGAGAGTGTCAGCAATTGGTGAAGCCTATTCGAGGTCCATGCCTATACCTACATAGGAGATTAGAACTTTTTGTTATTTTTCAGATTTTCCTCTTCCTCTTCGGCCATTTATCATGAGATAACTGGTGAATGGAATACTGTCAAATTTTCTATGTTGTTAAAAGTTAAATTTGGTCTATCGTGTCATTTAGCAGACGCATTGATTTCAAAGAAAACCAAAAGTGGCCATTTTTATGCTCTGATGGTCCAGGCCATCTGAATTTGGTTATTCGGTTTGGTCGGCAATATGCATTGAATACAAAGTGAAAGAGCACTGTTTTCATTGGTTTTCTGAATGCACATTGAATAAATTAGAAGTGTCAGACATCTTGGATTTATAAACAAGACAGTAAATATTGGCTAAAACATTGTGAGATCCTATGATGTTATTCATATCAGCTTTGATTGTACTTTATAAACAAATCTTCATCACAAATACTGAGCTTCGATTGATCGACCTGATACGGTTTGTTGGTCATTTGCATAAGCCAATTTATCTGAGACCGATTTTCTTTAGTGACCCAGTTTTGAACAAACAGAAGTAACAAGTAGGTCAGTGCAGCATAGATCAAATGAATAGTGCAGATAAAAGTCAAACATAGTTCAAAAAATGAGGGTACCGGGTCATCATATATCACTATTTAATAGCTGCAGTTAGTTTTATGGTAGTAAGTGTTATCAAACAGTGACTAAATTGTTAACTATGATCATAAGCCACAATAGTGAGCCAGAAGATAGAAAACTTTGTAAGGGAAGTGCAGTGCAATGCATGCTTGCAGCACATCATAGTACCCAGTGCAGAAATTAAGTTGGTTTAAAAGTTCTCACCCACTGGTATACACTGTTTATAATTACAATTGACTTATCTTCAAATTATTATTCTGTGTAATACTGCCACAGAGAGACAACAATGCCAGCGTGCATAGTTATATGTACTCTCACCATTGGAAATTAAACACTGTGATGTGAAGATATGCACTAGCTAATTGAGTAGGTGATCTGTGTGAAAATACAGAAATTGGTCTGCAATGTAAATATCCAAATGAAACGCTGCGACTGAACGCATTTTAGCGTACAGAGCAGACGATGTTGCCTTCACAAAATTGACGGATTTCGTTATTGGCAACGGACCATTTTATTTGATGCCGATTTTTAGTATTAAATACTTGTTATCTAACAATTTCTCCTCTTTTTAAATAGTTTCTCCTTTTTTTGTTATTGAAAACAACATTGTATTCATATCCATGGTACAGGGCATTGATGCTCAATAATGTTATTATTGCGAATAATCTGCTGCAATGACGTCATAAAATCCACTGGTATTGATATATGCTATAATATAATATAAGGTTATTACGAGGATACCTCAATAACTTTATTATTATACATCTTTTCCTTCCAAGGATACATGATAGGAATGCTGAAATCAAAAAAGTTTAGAACAGAATCAGTGAGTCCGGTCAAATCCTGGTGGCAGCCATGTTTATTTTTATTATTAGAGAACGCGTATGGGCATAATCATTTCATATTTGCAATTTGCATTTTCTTATATAAGGATGAAAATACCCCGTAAAATATCGCAAAATTACGACAAGCTATAACTTAGCAATAATTAAACACTGTGATATGACAATATGCACTAGCTAATTGAGTAGGTGATAAGTGTGACAATGTAAACATCTGTATGTGTTTATAAACTTCTAGTATGCATTTAAGTACACTGCAACTGATACTAATGTCTCCACTAGTAAATTAATTAACAAATTGTAATTACATATTAACAAATGGCTAATAAAATGGTCATCATGTATAAACATGTCTTCACCCACAGTGAGGTAAAATTGAACGTCAGAGGAAACATCTTTTTTTTTAGTTTTTTTTAGTAAGACTATGAATCTGCAAAACATTGTGGTCGTTCGTATTGGTAAAATTCCTTGTTTTCAATTCCCTGCAAGATTATGTGTTATGTGTGGAATCAAACAAAACAAGCCATTCATGGCACAGTTTCTGTTTTTAGTCCCCGTTCAGATGCAGTTCGAAAACAGGGACTTGTAGATTGACCTCTGTGCATCCGTGTGTGCATGCATGCATGTGTCCGGACCTATATCGTGGACATGCCTGGACCAATTACCGGTACATTCAAACTTCACACATACATCATACATAATGTTATAAATATGAACATCAATTTGTTTCACATTCTGATTCAAAATGGCCAAATGGCAGCCATTTTTGTGCTAAAAAATCATCAAATATCGAGCATTACTTGCATTTATGGATGGATTTCGTTCAAACTTGGTACATACATTAGACATTATGGGTTCCTGATGCACGTTATTTTATTTTTCAGAGGGAATTTACATGAATGTGGTTCTAGTGCCATATATCTCTGACATGCTTTGACTGATGTTCAAATTCAAATCCATCTGTTTTTTGTCCCAAGCATGGCAGACTATATGCATACGATGGCAATATTAATTACTTTGTTGAAATCATACATTTGTGTATTAATTTGCTGTTATGGTATTTATTATGAGTCATCGATCATTATAAAATATTTCATATCCAGTAAGTACAATATAATAATTATTACATTTCATATTTTCAGAGCTACCCATGTGCCTGTTGGAGATGACCAGATACAGCATGTAGAACTGACTCAGGATATAGCAAGGGTCTTCAATAATTTATACGGCAATTTCTTCCCAAGACCTCAGGTGTTGTTCAGTAAGTACTTAGCATAATTTATGCAATGTTGTTTTTAAACTTTTCAGACACCAAGCCTGTCTCGATTGTCTTTCATTGGAGTAATTATTTTTTCAAACAACCAATCCCAGTTGTCTTCTGTTAATAGTAGTTTTTACTTTTTACGAATTTCTCACATGGATGTGTTCCCTATCATCGGCTGTATTATGGTCAATGTCAGTTAAACTGAAGCAGAAGAATTTTATTCCTGGGCTTTCAATTGAACTGACAGGTCTGATGATGTTTGCCAAACATTCCTTTTCAATATTTTTTTTTCAGGTGAAGTAAAAAAAGTGAAGAGTTTACGGGATCCATCGAGTAAAATGAGTAAATCTGACAGTTCTCATCTAAGTAGAATTGAACTCACTGACACTGATAAGGAAATACATATGAAATTCAGAAAAGCTGTGACTGATTTCACCTCTGCTGTGACCTATGACCCTGACCGATTAGGGGTCACCAATATAATCAATATACATTCTGCCTTCACTGGAATAACTCCCGATAAAATCTGTGATGATGTAAAGAATCTTACAACTGCAGAGTATAAAAAGGTTGTTGCTGATGCAGTGATTGAGAATTTGACGCCGGTACGAGATGAAATTACAAGGTTACAACAGGAAAAACATTATATTGAAGATATTTTAAAATTAGGCGCTGATAGAGCAAGGACTATCGCCATGGAAACTTACAATGATGTTAAAAAACTTGTTGGGTTTTTGTGATTGTTTATTAAAAAGATTAAACTTCAATAACTGAAATGATCTTGGTCCAAGGATTGCTATTGTTTATGTATCTATTTCAGCAACCTAACAGTGGGTCCTTTATCTCCATACTGACTAGTGAAGTGCCTGAAATTTTTCATTAAAAACTTTCAACCATTCATATGTAGATCAGTGAAGAGTTTCAAACAAAATAAAATTGAGGGTTTGCTTCGAGTCAATCATGCATCAATTTAAAAGCTGCCTTGTGCATTTTTTTTTTTTTTTTTTTAAATTCTATCAGTGACATGTGGTGTAGAATGTTTTCTGTTTCAGATGATGTTTTGTTGATTCAAATCAAACTTTAATGGATGTTAAATATTGAACTTGTATCTTGTGATATTAAATAATTTTAATACAAAACAATTTTTTTTAAACCACATCACTTTTCAGAATCAAAATGTTTTACTTATGATAGTTATAATTGAAAGACCACTATAAATAAATTAATTTAAGAAATATCATGTGATATGCTTTGATTTCAACAGTTGTTAATTGCAGTTCATATCCGACCATGGACCTTGAGGCATTCACATAAAGCTGACCAAAGTTAGTGTTATAGTGAAACGTCATGTCTTTCCGTGCTATTAACTAAACAGGGTATTTAATTTTAAGTGGTGCTGCTATTGGAATTGATAACACAAGTGAATAATTGATTATGTATGCATAGCTGGAAACTATTTTTGTCATGTATGATAACAAAACGAGGTATTTAATTTTAAGTGGGGCTGCTATTGGAATTGATAACACAACAAGTGAATAATTGATTGAAGTACATCCGCTGCCATATGAAAAATAGCTGCTATAATAGTGGCATTCACGTTGAAGATCTCAGCACATGCTGAATTTCGGGACTGCGTCGGCACGTCCCAAAACTTGTGCGTGAATGGTCAGGACCGTGTCGGCACATGCCAAAAAAACTTGATCTCAGGACTGAAATTTCCTGCCTAAACGCTCGATGCGCGACGAAATCATGCCCTCGTTGGTGTATTTAAGAGAACATATACTGATTCATATTAGTATGACAATGAAGGGAAGTGAAGCTAGATATGGTTGGATGCTGCTGTTATGAATGCAAATTGTTGTCAGCGACAAATATTTTTGTGCTGCTGCAACTGTTTTTTTCTTGCAATGCTACATCGGCGTAAACAAATAATTGTTTTTCGAATCTTTGCTGTTCATGTCACGATGACTCATAATAAATACCATAACAGCAAATGGATATAATTTCAATATAACAATTATTATTATCATTGTATGTGTGGTGTTTTCCATGTTTGACTCAAAAACAGATCGACGAATGAGGGCGTGATTTTGGCACGAGCCGAGTGGGTCCCGACTAATGTGAACGCAACGTCTGTAATATCTCTGCAAACACAAGGGATTAAAAATTTCAGTGCGAGCCGAGATCCCATAAATGTGAATGTAGTAAATATGTTTTGATCTAAATCTCAAGGTCTCTTTGACATCATTGTTTAAATAATAATCCCCTGTCCCTAGTCCTCACCATATGTATGTACAGTAGCTTTTCACTTCTTTGCATTTCTGTTTAAACAAACTCTTAGCTTGACTAATCAGACTGTCTATTTTGTCATACCATGA